CGGGGCCGGGACGTGCTGTGTGTGGCTGGCAAAGGGTAAACGGACCCTGAACAGCTTCAGCTGAATCATCGGTTTTCCTGGAGACTTCTTGCTGCTGCTGGGGACATTCTGGGGACAGACACGGGAGAAGACCCTAGTCTGTGTGTCTGTCATACGATTGCCTGGAGCAGAGGCAAAAATCTGCCGCTTGAACCGGGGGCTTTTTTCAGCTGCACTCACCTGCAGCCCCCCAGCCCCTGCCAAATTCCTTGGAGCTGCTTATTAACACACTGACAACTCTGCTCCGGAGTCACGGCACGCCGAGGCAGGAGGCAGAAAGGTTTGACAGTGTGCCCTAAATATCCCTGTTTACAAAAAGTCTGACAAAACACAAGCCCTTGGCTTTATCTTTCCCATTTGGAAATAGCCACAGAGCAAATATACTTAAGGCATGGAGGGAGGGAGATTTATATTGACTTTAGAAAAAGCTGTTCTTTAAAAACAGGAAAAAAAGCTCATCCTCGAGCTGCGCAGACTGGCTGCTGGATGCAAAAGTCTTGCACAGAGGCTTAAAGCCTGCCTGCTAATCTGTGGCAGTTCTGCGTGAGCAAGTCATGCAGTAAACTGCTCTCTGTTAATTTTTTAATGCAGAATAAACAGGTCAAGAAATGATTAGCATGAGAATAAGTTGAGCTTAATCAGGAGAATCAGAAAAGATGAGAGAGAAGAGGCAAATTGGAGTTATCAGTTAACCACGCGGAGTGGCTGTGCCTCCACGAGCTTATGTTCCCTCTTGTTTTCCATCCCCTCTGAAGCTGCCTTTTTTTTCCCCCTTCCCTAATTTAAATGATGAGCTAAAATTGCTGGTATAAGCACAATAGAAGCCCTTGTCTCTCCTTCTTTTTTTCTATCTGCAATGGCTGCCCAAATGAATTGCAGGTGATAAGGCTCCTACCTGGTTATTCCCGATGGTCCTTCCCATTCTGTGTGGAGGAAGGGAACGGCTGACGCGAAGGTTGAAACATGCAAAATCCCATTTGTGCACATAACGAGCGCTCTGCTCCAGTGCAAAAGTTTCGGTGCGATCCCCGCAGATCTGGGGACTGAGTGGAGGCATCTGTGGGCAAGGGGAAGAGCAGCCCTCGGGACTGCTTGGAGTGGAGTTTGGTCAGTGGTCGGAGATCTATATTCTCAGATAGGCAGGACTTTGTCCACAAACTGGAATTTGAAATTTCAAAGGGGAAAAAAAAAAACCACAGAAGGGACCTTTGCATGTGTGGAGATGACTACGCTGGCGACGTTCCCCTGGGACTTTTGTTCTTTGTCTCGTAACTCAGCTTTGTGCTGGTGGGCTGAGCAGGGGCCCCAACCTTGTTCAGGGCTCTCCTGCTCTGGAGAGGTTTCAGACCTGAATCCCACCTCTGCTTCGCTTGCATGCCAAGGAAAAGCCACTCCAGCCCCACAGCAGCCTCGGAGCTGTGAGTGACGTGCGAGGAGCGATCTGGAGTGGGGCTGCAAGGGACAGTGGTGACATCGCTGATGTAAGACGAGGTTGGTCCTGCTGGCTCTGGGCACTTGCATTTCTGCCAGGGATTTCTGAGTGCAGGGCTGTGAGAGAGAAAAGCAAAGGGCAGGAGGGCCCCGGGCTCCCAGCTGCAGCCTGACCACTGTCCACACTCAGGAATTCCGCAGGCGACCCCAGGCTGGGGGCTCCGGTCCATGCACTGGAGGGCAGGGCTGCCATCCCATGACAGGCTGGGGAAATGGGCCAGCAGGAGCCACAAGAGCATAACCCACACAGGGGCATGGAGAAGACGGGGCCAGGCTCCTCACAGGGTGTGTGGTGGGAGGAGATCAATGGGCATGAAAAATGGAGAGAGGTTCAGACGGTGCCTAAGGAGGAACTGACTCACCACGAGGACAGTCAAGCACCAGTTGCCTAGAGAGGTTGTGCAGTCTGCACCCTTGGAGGTGTTCAAGATCCGACTGGATAAAGCCCCAGGACACACAGGCTGCTCTGGCAGCTGGCCCTGCTTCCAGCAGGAGGTGGGAGTAGGAACCCCAAGGTCCCTTCCAACCTCAGTCATCCTTTGATCCTACAGCACCCTGTTCAAGAAGGGCAGGAAGAGCCCCGTGAGAGGAGCCTGCTCACCCACTTGACATGAAGAGCTGGCAAGCATGGTAGCCGATGGCATCCTCACTACAAATGCTCTATTCCTGATCCTCATTCACTGGGAAGCATAGATCTTATTTTCAGGGAATCTCCTTTTGCTTTGGATGAATTTGCCAGTTGGGGATATATAGATAAGGCAGAATTAGTGTCATGATGTGCCAGTGTGGGAAAGCATTTACTGCTCAACAGATAAAAACTAAATAAGTGCTTGGCGCAGAACACTTCATGCCCCGGGGCCATCATGGTCTCCTTCGCAGCCATCTCCTGGAGTAGGAAATGGTGGGTGGAGGGCACAGGCCATGGGGGCAGGAGGAGAGCGGAGAGGGCCTGAAAGCTGAGCTTCCCCTGCCTGGGAACAGCCTTTGCGCTACCAGAGGGGTTTGCCAGCTGCGAGTTGTCTCTGGGACAAAAACAACAAAACATCTTCTGTAGGACAGAAGTGTTTGACTCAGCCCCACAGCCAGCAGCTGACTTGAGCATCTCCAACCTAAACCAGCTGCAGGGCTGGGGGTCCTGTTGGCTAGTACAAGCCATGACTACATTGGCAAGCTGTCCCAAAACCCAGCATGCAGGGATGTCAGGGGAGACAAGGACTCCCCAGGCAGAACAGCCCCGGGGAGACATCGTCTCCCACAGCAGACTGTTCCCGGGGAGCAGCCGACCCATTTCCATCCCAAGCCCATCTCTGGGGCAAAGGAAGCACACTGTGCCCTTGGCTGGTCTGGTCCTCTACCTCCTGACCGAAACAAGGGATTTGGGAGGGTGCGCTGGCGACCGACAGAGGACACTGGTAGTGAGAAAATGACAGTCAACACGACCCTGGGGCGGAAAGCGCCGCGTCCCATTGACAGCCCCGACCTCGAGAGCCACCTAATGCTCTCCAAACTTCCCCACTCCTTATCTGCCGCTGCCCCGCACATGCTGCCTCTCCGATTTCTATTCCTGGCCCTTTTAATCCTTCCTGCCCGGGGAGCAAATGGCCTTTTCAGCCTTCCTTGCTCAGCAGGCTATTTAAGCTAAAGGTTTGTTTTGCTGAGCAGAGCAAAACGGGCCATGCTTTTACAATATTTTACTAGACGCTGTGGCAAATCCTGCACATATTTGACCTAGTGTCTGTAGCATTTATCTAATCAAAGGGATCACTGTGGCCTGGCCAGGATCGGGACGGAGGTCCCTGGGATGAGGCCACGGAGGGGTCTATGCTCTACCTTAGCATCCCCATACCAGTGTGCACATCGTAAAAACAATTTTTGGGTCAGGACTGTTCCCGCTGAAGGGAAGAGCCACTAGCACGTGAGTGCGGAGAGCTCTGGGCTCTCCCTTGGGAGCACAGACCGGATGACTGTTTTCCCTGCAGCAGAGGACTGTTTATCACGAGTCCCAAGCAAGGAAGCAGAGGCTCTCCCGCTCCGCTCCGCAGACCTGTAGCCTTAGGCTAGAGGAGCTGTTTGGAAGTGCTACGTAGGTCATCATTTCAGGGGGTGAGGGCTGCTTGAGCAACACCCTGCACTCCTAAAATGTGAACAGCAAATTGTCGCTAGCATCACTGCCCGAAGGCACGTGCTGTTGTGGAGCCAGTGACCTTGGTGTCACATTGTGACAGTGATGCCACCATGGCCAGGGAGGCTCGGGGCAACAGCAGGGCCAGGGCTGCATTGGGGTGCCTGCAGAGCACAAACACAAGCCAGCTGGGAGCCCAAACCAGCAGTGTGTGGCCTCAGTCACCCGCTGCTGGTTGCGAAATAAGGGGAAATTTTTCAACACAGAGCTCGCTGATACCAAACCATTAATTGCTGGTTCTCCGGCACCCAGCTTAGCAAGGAGGAGACCACAGGCAGCTCCACTACTTGCTCCTGTCCCCCCTGCCCAGCACCAGTGCGTCAGACCCCAGGTCTGGGCAAGGCGACAGAACCACTGCGGCGGAGAGCTGGCAGGGGCTGCATTTGCAGAAGGCAAAATCCCACTTCGGAGTAAAGCTCTGCTGTGTTGCAAAATACTTAATGAAAATTTTAAGACGTGTAGTTAAAACCCAAGGCTGGGGGTTGTCCAGCACAGGGTGGCTCCAGCAGTGGGACTGGAGCAGCCCTGGCGATGCCCAGGGTGCCCGGGCCACCGCCTGGCCCTGCTCACCATTTGGGCACGGCTGCAGAGTGGGATCTGTTTATAGGGCATCCAGCCTCTGTAAAACTCAGTTTATAGGGAAGCAAAAGGAGTCGCCTGTCGTTACTTTGCATAGCAACGTGTAAATTGCCAGGCAGGTGCTGACCTTCTCTGACGGGAGAGAGAAAAAGGAAAAGGTGTGGGAGGGATGGAGGGAGCGAGAGAAGGGAAAATCAGGGAGAGAAGGCAACCGACTGTGGAGAGGGGAAGGCAATGACTGAAGAGCAACCTTGTTCTCCTGTTGGGGGGGTTTCCAAGCTTTCCACCCCAGGTACAATTAAGACCAACACCGTCAGCTCCGCATCAAGGTCAATAGCCCGGGAAGGTGCTCCCCGGGCGGCGAGCTCCTGCTCCTGCTGTCCTGCCTGCGCCTGGGAGCCAGGATCGGCAAAGCACCTAGAGATTCAATAATAAACAGTCAACAAGAATCACTGCTACTCCACCAAAAAAAAAAAAAAAACAGCTTAGCAGCGTTCGGCAGTGGGTGAGATGATTAAAGATTAACCCCCTGCCTCCTGCCTCCACCCCTCTGGGGAGTATAGGCCTTGAGGCTCAGCAAATCCTTTCAGAGAAATATTTGAAATAAAAGACAACAGATAGGGGACGCAGCGAAGGCAGAGGGAGGCAGAAGGGCCAATAGCCTCGGACAAGGGAATCGGTACAATCTGGCCCGTGTTTGCTGATGATAATGCGCCTTTCCAAAGCCCTAATAGACATGGAGATGGCAGATTATAGCGCAGCGCTAGACCCGGCATATACCACTCTGGAGTTTGAGAACATGCAGGTGCTGGCTATGGGCAACGGTAAGTCCCCTCCATCTTCTCCCCTCCGCAGCGGTGGGACAAGCCAGGGGCTGTGGGAGGACAAGTCCCCGGGGCGGCCGCTGAAATGGCCCCAGGGACGGCTGGGGCGTGGTGAGGGTGCCAGCCGTGGGGCTCCTGGCAGCTCACAGGGGGGTTTCTGCTTCCCCCGGGAAGCAATCGAGGTGGCAGAACAACGTTGTGCTTGGCGCCGGTGGGATGGTGCCCTGCAGCCCAGACACCTTGGGGACAGGCGCACGCCAGGAGCTGGCTGCAATGAGAGGTGCAACCAGACATTCAGCCCGGGGACCGGGGCTGGGGCTGAGCATGGGGGGTGTCTCACCTCCCCCAGGCCCCAACCAGGAGAAAAGACTAGTCAAACATGTCTGAGCAAAACGCTGCCGACAGCTCACCGGACAGACATCCGAGCCTGTGGCTCCCCAGCAGAGCCAGTCCCACCCCAGCGGCAGCTGGAGCTAGGTTTTCCAAGAGCAGAAGGCCATTTAGTGCCTGGCAAGGGTGGAAATCACTACAAAAAGCGATTTAGGGGCTGCCGCTGCAGCTGCCCCGAGGCCACAGCCCTTCCCCTGCAGCGCTGGGGTGCGGGGTGGCACCCCCTTTCCCGGGAGCGCTGCGGGGCCAGGAGGCTCAGCCCCGGCAAGAGGGGCGAGGGGACCTGGCGGGGATAGACAGGCGTTCTCGTCCCCCCAGGAGGGCAGAATAACACTTAACTCACCAGTATTTGCAACACTGGCCCACCCATTTGGGGACCGAGGAGTCCTGGTGATTAAACGCTTGGAGATAACAGGAGATTCCGCTCCAAGTTCCCCCTAAGTTCTCTCTAAATACGAGGTTAATGACTAAACGAAGCACACCGTAGAAAGCGACCCCTCTCCTCCTGCCTGCTGCGTCACCGAGGCTGCTGGGCCACCCCTGTCCTGGAAGGGCTGTGCCGGTGGCACGGGCTCTCCACTCACAGCCTCTGCCTGTCTTCCCCGGGTCACGGCTCTGCTCCGTCGCAGACGTGACACTCTGGTGCCGGTGTTGCTCTGCTGTGCAGTAACCTCCTGCTGCCCGGGGTCGCAGACCCTTCTCTGCTCCTGGGGGCTGGTCCTACCCACCCAGGGGTCTCAGGGCTGAGAGCAGCCCCCTTCGGCTCTGCCGATGCCCATCTGGACCCTCCAGGACAAGCCCCAGTCTTGCTCCTTCTCCATGCCCTCTCCCACCCAGCTTGCAGAAGCTCCTGCCCAGGGGGCTGTGACTCAGCCCCCCCAACCCAAGGGCTCCACGGAGCAGAGGGACACAATAATTTGATATGACAAGATCAGGTGTGGTATGAAATACGCCCTAGGGGTGGCTGAGCTGGCTGAGTCAGGCAGCACCAACACTTCTCCTCCCCTGCCCAGCTCCAGCCCAGGGGCAGGTCTCGCCCCCAGGGCTGCTCTGCCCGTCCAGCAGCTGCCCACACCTCTGCCTGCAAAGCCTCTGCCTCCTTTTCTGGCCGAGGACTGCAGGCGAGCTCGGTCCCTGCCCTGTGCAGCGCTGCAGCTCCAGCTCAGCGGCGACCAAGTCTGCCGCCACCACAGACCAGGCGCACCCCGCGTTCAGACGGGCTCGGGGGCCTCTCGAGGCGCTCCTGTCCTAATGCAGCTCTCAGCTGCGAGGTCTCAAATTTAAAGTCAGATTTTTTCTTTCCCCTGTTTACCTTAATTCCAAGTCAATCCCATTAAACCCACTTCACTGCAGCAGCCAGAAGCCAGTACTTCTGGCACTGCGAAATAAACTCAATTGGAAAACTATCCATTAGGCAATAATTTCATTGTTGTTTAGCTATCAGACTAAGATGTTGCAATTTCTTTGATAATGATGCCAGTTTTTCCTGTTCTACGTTCATCTGACCACAGCATGATATACTGCTAAAAAGGGATGATCTGGGCTGTCACAGATACCCAGGTAATGTGATTACAGGCAGATCAGCTCTTCCTCTCTCGTGTTAAGTCCGATGTTGAGCCGAAACTGGAAACCCAGCTTTCCTTCTGGAATGACCTTCATCCAGCTGAGCCCTTGGGGGGCATTGGGAGGAAGGATGTTTTCAGAGGCAAGCCCCTTGTAGGGATGAGAGACAGCCAGAAGGGGCTTGGGAGCGGAGAGCTTTGCACCGGCACTGCTGGACACACGGAAACGCAGCTGCGTGCTGGGGCGTGCTGGGCAGGGACGCAGAGAGGCAGCAGCCTGGCTTGGAAAGGAATACAGGAGGGACACGAGGAATTCAGAAGACAGAAAGCGGGCAGGGAAATGGAAGGTGCTGCCCAAGCCAGGGAAGGGCTGGCTCCAGATCCCCCATCGCTGTGGGATCCACATGGGTTACTCCTGCCAAGGGAGGACACGCACAGGCCGTGCAGCGTCAGCCACGATATCCCTTTCTCTGCAGAAGAAAAGCTAAAATTGTAGTGTTCCCCAGGCAGCATGGCCTTGGCCTCCCCCAGCACGCATGCACCAGCCACCAAAGGGAGCCCTGCTGGGACCAGCCTTTCTATAGCACCCAGCCCCCTTTCTGCTGGGTGCCAAGAGGAGCTGCTGTGGCCTTCCTAGGGTGAGAGTTAATCGCATCCCTGCCAAACCCAGGGGCCAACAGGCTCAAGTATTAAAATCCCAGCAGGTTTCTATGGCTTTGTAGGTCCTGGGTATCATCTGCAACTGGGATTTCCACTGAGGCAGGGGAATGTGCCTGTGCTGATGCAGGAAAATGTGCATGGGAGGGGACAATTAGATCAACCGAATTAAGGGCTGATCCCTTTAGCCTTGAGGTTTGTTTGGCTTGCTGGAGGGGCTTTAGTGTAGGGCTTGTATGGTTTCGAGCCTTTCAGATGTCCTTTCCTACAGAGGCTGCTGCAATTCCCCATGCTCCCAAAAGAGCCCTGCAAATGCAGCCCCCCTCGGTCTGTAAGGAATGCAAGACACATTGGTCTCAGCTGTGGTGCTACCGGACTCTGGAGGATACCCAGCATACAGCCTCCTCCATCCTATAGCGTCACCCTTTCTTCCTGGGATACCTTCCTTGCATGGGTAGTGTTTGCCCACATCAATTTTCCACCTAAAGTAATTTGAGTTTGTTATGCACTTAAAGTCCTGTTCTCCTGAAGAGCCACCGTGCAGGCTGGAGCTGCACGCCTGGCAAAGGGAGTTGGTCACCTCGTTTCTCTAACAGCATCCGCTCAGGGCTGTCTTGGGCTCTTTCGGTGCTACAACACAAACACCCCTCTAATAAATCAGCTGCTTACCCTGAGCTGTAATACCTCAGCTTTAACTCTGCACCTGCTTTTTCTCTGGCCATGCTACTGCAGCCCAAAGCGTTTGCAAATCCCCAAGGAATTTTGGCTCTGCTCTGTGACTCCTGCAAAAGGGTTTCCACTGTGCCCGAAGGTGTCGCTGGAGTCAGGCCTTTGCGAAGAGGTGTCTCACCCTGGCACACAGGGGGTTTTTGCACACTCAAAATTAAATTACTTCAGACACTCGGAGCACCCCCTACTCCTTACACACCTCTCAGACTGGCCCCTGCCACACAGCCTGGCGGCAGCTGCCTGGCTCCTCCAAAAACCAAGTCTCTCACAGGAAACTGAGTTAGGCAATGCTGTCTGTCTGTCTCATTGTGTTCTTCTTCCCGTGTCCTTCCCCACGCAGACACATCTCCATCAGAAGCAGCCAACCTCAACACTTCCAACAGCATCGGGGTGAGTGCACTGTGTGCCATCTGCGGGGACCGCGCCACGGGGAAGCATTATGGGGCTTCCAGCTGCGATGGCTGCAAAGGCTTCTTCAGGAGAAGCGTCCGGAAGAACCACATGTACTCCTGCAGGTAAGGACAGAGGGGACAGAGTCGTGTGGCTGAAACAAAACAGCCGCTAGGAGCCGAACAGCGAAGCCCTCAAAGCGCAGCAGCATGGCGTTGTCCTCTTTGTCCTCCCTGTGTCCTCCACCACCTTCCATGACCTCACCCCCAGGCTAGGAAGGGTCAGAGACCACTCTCACTCTGGGACTGCCCTCCAGTGATCACCAGGGAAAGACCCTGGGAGGTCTTGCCCCATTCTTGAGGGGCCAAGCACATGTTCTTGCAAATGGCCAACTGTGGGCGCGGCCAGCAAGCAAGGAGGTGCTATGGGGAAGCCCTGTTACAGGTGCTCAGCACCTTGCTACTCAGTGCTCTGAGTGCAGCACAAACCCCACGGACTCCCTGGGGGCACTTCAGTGGCCTCCCACCCCTTCTCCATCGCGAGGTGGAAGTGTGTCTGCCATCCACCTAAAAAGCTGTCACTGCCATGATAAAAGAACATCTAAGGAGCAACAAGCTGGGCGGCATAGTGTGCACGTCTCTGAGGATGAGACACCCATGTTGCTCCTGCATCTCATGTACTGCACCGTGTTGGTGGGGGTAACCCATGGCTCTCTTGTGCCATCAGTGGCTGTGACCTGCCTGCTCCCCACCCTGAGCAACCCACACAGAGTCGCAGAGGAAACCCAGGAGCCCTCAGCTCAGAGCATCCAAAACACTCGGGCTTTTCGAGTGAGTTCCTCCCGATGGCCTGACAGACACTTGGAGAGTGTGAAGAGCAACGTGACTCTAAAATCTGAGTGACAGAAAGAAGCCCCAGGTTTATGAGTGCATGTGAAGCACATTATCACTTGCAGCCCAGGGCTGCCTGAGCTGGCTGCTGAGGGAGCCCCCACCCCACAGCTCCAGTGGAAAAGCCAAGGCGCCCAGTTCTTTGGAGACTAGGCCTTTTTTATAGGTCCAACAGAAAAGCTTAAAAAGCTGCTCTCAGGCATCCATTTGGGCAAATCCTAGCTTGGGGCTTTAAAAAGCATGGTAGGAACAAAACAAGCCATTTCAAAAGCTACAGAACTCGGCATGGCTGGGAGCCCTTTTCCAGCTCTGTACGCCTTTGTCTATACTTTGCAAACATGATCAATCCACAGTAAATTAGAGCAAAATTGCAAGTGAAATTCATGCTGCAAGTGGCCACCGGGTTTGTGCTGCATGCCACAGCCACACACATGGGAGATCAGTGTTTGCCCCATCAAGTGCAATGGATTCAGTGATACAAGTGTGGAGGAAAGGAGCTGGTGGCTGCAGGTGGCTGCAGAGCTGTTTCCACACCAGCAATGCTGTCCAGAGATCAGAACCAACCTGCCTGGGTCCCAGACAGCCCTGGGGAGATGCAGGGACTTAAACCCACTTCTTAACCTTACTAGCTCAAGAACAACCTTCTATCCTTTTTTTATTCAGAATAAATGCATTCTTCCACCACTCTAACTGGGATCTAACTTACAACAGAGGCTACCAAGTTGGCTCTGACCCTTCTGGCTCACACTTTGAACTTCACTGCAGCTTGTTAGTCCTTCGTGAGCACCCTATGCCTAGTGGTTAGCGAGTACGACCAACAACCTGAGCTCCTGCACACGACTGTCAGCTCTAGCCTGTCCTTACTGAACATCCAGAGGTAGAGCAGAGGGCTGAGATGTTCAGTGCAAAGAAGAAACCTCAGGTTAAAGCAAGCATGGAAATGGCACAGACCGTGGCTCCTTTCTCAGGGTGAACTCCTGGGAACCTGCTCTGAGCCTAGCTTGGAGCTTGGGGCTCTGTTTTTTCCTGCCTTCAGGCTCAGTCTTGCTGCTCCTCACACCTCTCTTTCTTCCCAGGTTTAACAGGCAATGTGTGGTAGACAAAGACAAAAGAAACCAGTGCCGATACTGCAGGCTTAA